CAAAACTCCAATGTAAAAATTTAAGGAATGCTCATAAACTGTATCAAAGAAGAGCTAGAGATAGAAAAGGAGGAGCGAGAATCTAAAAAAAAAAAAAAAAAAAAAAAAAAAAAAAGGCAATTAAACATTGCAGAAATAAAGAAGAAAATAAAAAAGTATCAATGGATTGTATAAAAGCTGCTATAAAGAAATTACGACAAGCTCGCAAACGGAAATTAGAAAAGTTGGCTGCAAAAGTAGCAAGAAAGAAAAAGCTTTTTCCCTAAAAATTTTTAATCAGGATCGAGCAAGGCTGAGACAAAATAGCTATTTTTTGTATTCCTCCTTTAATTATATGTTATTTTGTAACTATATTGTCTCACATGAGTACTTTTTCTGGTGTTATATAAAGTACTGTTTATTGAGCTAAAAGTGAAGATAATTAAGAGCTATAGTAACAGTTATATTTGCCAGAAAATGGGCAGTAATATATAACATAAATATGTATATTAGTGTGTTGTAATGTTGTGTACAGTATTCATGTATCAATTGTTAAATTAAGTTACATAAAGAGCATCTTAAAGAAGGTTAATTCATTACAACCTCTTGGTGATTTATTGATTTTTTTTTTACAAGATAAAATTAATAGCAAAATAGTAAACACAAGAATTATTTTAGTTTAATTATATGAATATGTTTAATACTTTTTATACTAAAAGGTTGATATTTTATCAAAATGTGTTTTTTTGAGGTCACACGTGCGCAATTAGTTTTTGTGTAATTCTGTGTCCGTGCGTTGTTCAGCTTTTTTTTTTGCCAACTTGCACTTTCAAGCCTGAAATATAGGCGTTTGTGATACTTTAGTCTGATCTTTGAAAGACGTGGAGTAGTGTATTTGCACTGTACATTATGAGGTGTTTCGAAGGATGATGTAAATAAAAGAAAATCACAAGTGAATGCAAAAACAAGGAAAAATAGGTTGAACACTGCCTAACCATGGATAGCTGTGATTTTCTATTATTATATTTACATTCATCTAAGGAGAAAAGAAAGATGATTTAAGAAAAATGTTCATTTGATGGATATACCTGACCCAAAATAAAAATTTATGCAGACTATTTTTATTCCTTGTATCTGAAATATCGATGCGGATGTTCATGTCTATGATTTCTATAGGAAGGTTGCACTGGGTATATTTGAATTGGTATGTTTTTAAAGTTTCCATTCCCTGATTCTCTGTGTTAATTGGAGTTAGGAGGGATGCCAAATTAGTTGTTAAATTTTAGAAACCCATTTAAAAAATACATCATGGTTGTTAATTTCCAATTTTGAAAATGTATTGAGAAGCATCATTTTAAATCAGTATATATTAAAAATCAGTATAAAGTGCACTTCTTTGCGCACTTGCACAACCCTATGCTCTTATTTAACCAAATCATATAAAAGCACATTTATTTATTAATAATTTAAAGTTTAAAATGGGATTAAATGTCATTGGACATATTTGACATAATTTATGACTCTTTGCTTTATACAAAGGTCAAACTTATCTATGGCATTGATAATAAAATCATTACAATGTGTTGAACCTAATAGTCTCTTTAAACACATCAGTTTCAAATTTTTGTATGCTTCATGGAATTTAATACTGCAATGAAATGAAAGGTAAATAAAGCCTTGCAATCAAAAGGTTTAAAATGTACATAAAGCTGTTCAGTTATTAGGGGCATTACTCTGACATCACATAGTGAATAGTGTGTTTTTCTTATTTTCTCTTCATGAAACATAAATATTAGCCTCTTTAGAATGTCCTCCACAAAAGCATCCTTTTCCTTAGGCAGATAGTTTTAATACATATGCATTATTGAGTTAAACGAACAAGCATAATAGAAGGATTTTTCTCTTTTTCTTTTATGAAAAGTGACAGAAAGTACTCTAGACAAACATGAAAATCTAGCTTTAAAGATAAATACTTGAACAAAAAAGTGTGACAAGAAGTTATAAAAAAAAAGTTAGTGAATCATAGTATCAAAACATCATTTGATAAAAGAACTAATTAAAAAAAGTAAATACATTTTTTTCATAGTAAAAGTGAAAGGAAGAAAATGAAAGTACTTTAATTTCGCATCTAAATTGAAGGTATCAAAAATTATATGAGAAAGCTTTCAATTTCTATAATTGGTAAAAAATTTATGTCTATGGATTTAGCTAATTTAAATATTAGGTTAGGTTGAATTTGGCAAAGCCAACAACGACTATCTACCTAAGGAGAGGCATGCTTAGGTGTTTTAAAAAATAACAGCTTCTAATATAGCATATAAATATCCAAATGATATAAATTCTCCAAAATTTCCATGAGAAATATCTAGTCTCTAAATTAAAATTAGATGTTTTGTTGATAATTCAGGAGTACCGTTTAATTTAATCACATATGAATTTGGAAACTGTTCAGGATACTTTAAGCATTGACAGTTGCCATTGTTAAAGTGAAGAATGCTTCATGGAACTTAATAAAAAAGTGCAGTATATTCTTTTGGCCTAAAAAGCTTTCAGATATCTTTATTTTCTCTATGTAATATTAGAGTATGAAAAAATATTCTCTATTTTACTCTGTTAAAAGGAAGAAAAATTATAAAGAAGACAACACTTTTTATATGATATCAGTTTATTAGCTGTTTATCAAAAATGTTTTTTAATGCTTTTTTTTAAATTTACGCTATTAATCTTATGAATAATGAAGTTACAAATATAATATGAATTGTGGTGATAGCTAACTTTGTTGAATATAAGGGCATAGAGATACAGTTAATTTGATTGCAAATAGAGGTACATATTTATCTCTTTGCCTCAGGTGAAAAAATACCTTGGTATGGCTGTGATGTTAATTGGCCTTTTTTGATTTAGCACATATTTTAAATAATGCTCTCCTGCACTCTCAAAAGACTGTAACCTTCAAAAGCTTCTGAATTAGTAATATGTGAGCATAGCTGTATTTGATGGTTTTTCATTTACCAGAATCTTGAAAAGTCAGAAAAATTAAACTCTTTTTCAAAAAGGGAGGGAAAAAATATATACATATATATATGAGCTGAAGAGACAAAATATTATGACCACCTACTCAACATGTTGCACGACCTTTGATCTGCAAAACAGCTACAACTCGCCCTGGTAAATGGCTCAAGTTCTTGGTAAATGACCAGAGACAGGTTTTGCAAAATGTCTAAGCAGCGTTCATTCAAAGTTGAGATATTCTGACATGGTGGTAATTGAACTCTAAGCTGCCACTTCATGACATCCTGAAATATGCTTTGCCAGGTTAAAATCTGGCAAGTTAGATGGGCAGGACATTAACTGAAATTCATCCTTATGCTCCTCAAACCACTCCAATATAACTGGAGCCTTGTGACATGGAGTGTTGTCCTGTTGAAAGATTCCAATCCCAGTTGGGAAGACATGCTCCATGTAAGGATGTAACTGATCCGCTGTTATGTATAGAGATCCCGCAGCTTTCATGGCCTGTTCTATCACAACTAAGGGTCCCAGAACCACCAGTGAAAGAACCCCCAAAGCATAGTACTACTACCTCTGACTTGTGTATGACCTATTGTACGGGGGGGGGAGACATTGATCCCTGGAAGGGAGTGCCCTGACACGACCATTGACGTGATGAATGAGAAATCATGATTCATCTGACCAGGCAACAGTTCCATTTATCCATGGTCCAGTCTCGATGTTCCTGAGCCCACTTTAAGCATAGTTGACAATGATGGTTGATTAATAGAGGCACACAAGGGTGACATTTGCTGTGCAGTCCCATATCCAATAGTGTTCTGCTGAACTATATGTTCTGTAACACTTGCACTTGGACCTACATTGTATTGGGCTGTCAGCTGAGTTACTGTCTGGCACTGATTTTGTTCAGTCTTCAATGTTCTTTTTTTTATGATGCGTAGACATCCAACACATTGGCATCTACTGCTGGTTTGACCGACATTTATCCACTAACACCGACAAATCATAAACAACGTACTAGTCATGCATTTTCAGATACTCATTCTGAGTCTTTAGGCCATTACGATCTGCACTCTATCAAATCTGCTTAAATCAGCAGCCTTACCCATCTCTCATAGAAGTAAGTGCAAGAATAGTTCCTTATCTTTTCTAGCAGCAGCTAAATACCATTCCTACTTTATCACATGCCCTCCATGCCATCCAGACAAGTTCAGTAAGAAATGTGGGGATGGACATAATGTTTTGGCTCGTCAGTATACACACACACACACACCAGTCCTCTCAAGTAACGAAAAGTTCACGTTTTAAGTGTTATTTAGTGACAAAAATTAATTTGCATGAAAAAAAAGTGAATGAAGTGTTAATGTAATTTTTTTCTTGCAGAAAGAATATACCAACCTTTTATATGATACAGTACTAGTATTATCAAGCCTTAGCTCTTCCCTTTGCCCATTACTGTGCCACTGATTATTCTTTTCTTTGAACTATAACTGTTCTATCAAAGTAATCTGTTAAATGTATAATTGCTATTAAATAATATTATTCAGAATTGACTACATTGTGGGTCTTTGCTATAAAAAGTAACTGTGTTCAGACACTTTTTCAATCCATTGTTACTATAAATTTCTCAAATTTTATTTTGAAGCATCACAGTAGTTATATATATTATGAATGGGGTACTGTTATTAAGTTCTTTTGGGAAATGAGCAGTTCTTTTCTGAATTTGATATTGCTGTTTAAAAATTGTACATACTTATTTTCATTTTTAACCCTACATTCTCTTGTAAGTGTTTGCATACATATAGTGACATTAGGTAATTTCCTTAAATTGTTCAAATTGATACACTGAAACTGTCAATATTTTGTAATTTTATTGCTGTTTATTATTCATTGTAGTTTAGCACTGTGAGAAGTTTATTTATTTGTACCTTTTGGCAAAATAACCGTAAATAACCTTGATCAATTTTTTAGATGATATTCATATCATTATTCTTTTTTACCCATTTTAGCTGTCTTCTACAAAACCTTATTTAAGGAAAAAAGCAATTTTGTTAATGTATAAAATATTTTTAAAATTTCCTGAAGCATTGCGTCCTGCTTTCCCACGTCTGAAAGAAAAACTGGAAGATCCTGATCCAGGTAAGATTACTATTGAAAATGAATTTCAGTACTTTGCATGTTAGTATTTTTATAGCATCACACTTTAGAAATTCTCAAAATGTATTGTCTGTACACAATATTCCTTTTCCTTTCTGTTGGGTTAATTATGCAAAGTGATTCACCTAAGTTTATACAGACATTAGAGAGGAGTTTACTCATAGACAATTCAGAAATACTAGCAATGTAGGAGTGGAAACGTATTTGCAGTGTACTAGAGGGTGTCCTTGTGGAAAAGGTAAAACTTCTGTGCACGAAATTCGGCATTCAATAATCGAGTTAGCATGTATGCGTCTAACATATGGAACAGCCAGTTGTAATGGCAAGCCTCTGTGTATCTGTAAGGGAGTGGTATCTGAATGGACAGATTCTGTTAGATTCTTTTCAGATGTTTTCAGAGTTGGTTCTAATAGTAGTAATTCAGAATGTCCACGACTAAGTGAGTCATGTATGAAGCTTGATTCACACCCACAATAAAATATTTATTTGAGACGAGCAGTTATTACTCCTGTCATTACAGTAAACTGGTAGCTTTTTCCCCACTAATCAAAAACATAAGCATTCTCTACACATAGTGCCATCTACATGAAAAAATTCTCTATATACACCTCCTGGGATGAACTTACTCTCATCATAACTCAAATTTTCATGCATTCTAGTATCACATGAATAATATTCTAAGTATTACATAAATCTAATAAATTTTAAAGCTTAATCTCATGAATGTCGAATTATACAAATTTTTATTAAGTATCTATCTATCTATACTATTAAAATCTGTGCGCGTCTGTTTGTTTGTAACCTCATCTTCTCTGGAACGGTTGGGTGTAGAGCTTAGCGGAGCATACCATTGGATTCAGGACGTCCCTGGCTCGCCATTCGCATCTTCGTGCGACTTTAATTAGCAAAGATGGTAATTAGCCCGAAAAATGCACAAAAAATCGGTATCTCCGGAACTTATCGGCCGATTTCTTTGAAATTTTGAATTTTAAACCAGCGAGTTGATGAAACGACTGATGGAATTGATTCCGCACTGATTTGTGAATTAGGAGCCTAATTAACAGGGTAATTAAAAACGCCCTAATACTCCTTTTTCTTTCCTACCCATATCTTTGTGGACAGGCTGGGATTCGAAGGCGACGGGTTTTTAGGGGTTGCAGCTGTATCCGTTCTCCAGTTGGAATCGTCAAGGCCATTAGCAGGGGACGAAATTAACGTAGTGGAGAATTTTTATTCATTATGCTAATTAATATTCTAATTTGCAATCTCTCTAGAACAAAGAGCATCCTTCATTTGACTATCTATGAGTTGTAAACTTCTAAATTTGGAGCCGATCGCATTATTGGTTCCCAAGATATTAATTTTTCTTAATTAGAGAAATTGAGCCCAAAAAATGCACAAAAAATCGGTAAATTTGGAACTTACCGGCCGATTTCCTTGAAATTTTGAATTTTAAACCCGCGAGGGGATAAAACGACTGATGGCCTTGATTCCACACTGATTTGTGAAAAAGGAGCCTAATTAATGGGGTAATTAAAAACGCCCTAATACTCCTTTTCCTTTCCTTTCCATATCTTTATGGACAGGTTGGGATTGAAGGCTACGGGTTTTGAGGGGGGGGGGAGCTGGTTTCCGTTGGGTCATGGGAATCGTCAAGGCCATTCGCCAGGGATGAAATTAACGTAGTGGAGGAGCATTTTTATTCATTATGCTAATTAATCTTCTAATTTCCCAATCTGTCTGGAATAAAGACCAAACCTCTTTTCAAAATCTGACAATTATAAGATTGTAAATTTCGAGCCGATCGGACTGTTGGTTGCCGAGATATGTATATTTTTTCTGAATTTTTCAAACAATTCGTGGTTTTTGGATCTGAATAAGAAAAGCAACTTTGAGTAATACAAGTTAATATTTCTAATAGCTTAAACCAGCGTGCTCATTTGTGTTACTGAGCTCATTGTGTTCACTGCTTTTGTTATTAAATATAAGTGCATTAATATATATATTGTTGTATTTTTGGTAACAAATGTTTCTGTTCGCATAAAGCTAATATTAAATTTAATTTTAATTAAGAAATTTTAATTGCAAAAAAATAAATATAAATATAAATAAACTATTTATTTAAATTCTGACTAATTTTTTTTTTCGTTCAGGGTTTTAAATTGAATTTCTGTTGCTTGAACATGGTATATGGAAAGTTTTCTTATTATAAATAATTGATTGATTAATTGCATTAATATATATATTGATGCACTTTTATGTGTGCTTATGTTAAAGTTTATCAAAAGGAATTTTAATAACGAATCTACTGTTTGAATATTATGCCCGAAAAGTTTTGCGGTTACACTTGGCAAAAAGCCTGAGCCGTAAAATCGCTGAACACTGGTAGTTCAGTCCAAATTTCGAATCCCGGGAAACGGGTTGGCTCCATAAGTGTTTTCGTAATTTTGAGTATGTGTAACGTGTATGCAGTATATTGTGAATGCATACGTAAATAAAGCGGGCGCAGCCCACTTTAACCGCTAAACACTGGTAGTTCGGTCCAGCTTTCGAATAAAGGCGATCGGGCTGGCTGCATGGGTATTTTCGTGATTTTAGGTATGTTTATCGTGTATGCAGTATTTTCTGGATGTATACGCCAATACAACTAAATTTCTAATAGCTCAATTCAGTGTGCTCATTTGTGTCACCGAGCTACGTAATCATTCACTGCTTTTTTTTATTATATATAATTGCATTAATATATATATTGTAATTTTGAATTTAACAAATGTGTCTGTTTGCATAAAGCTAATATTAAATTAAATTTTAATTAAGAAATTTTAATTGCCAAAGAGTAAATAAATATAAAAATATTTAAACTATTTATTTAAATACTGACTAATTTTTTTTTTCGTTCAGAGTTTTAAATTGAATTTCTGTTGCTTGGGCATGGTATATGGAAAGTATTCTTATTATAAATAATTATGAATGATTAATTACATTAATATGTATGTTGATACACGTATGTGTATGATTATGTTGAAGTTTATCAAAAGGAATTTTAATAACAAATCTACTATTCGAATAATAAACCCAAAATGTTCGAGATTATATTTGGTACAACGGCCCATTATCGGCTGAGCGGTAAAGTCGCTGAATACTGGTAGTTCGGTCCAAATTTCAAATCCCGGCGAATGGGCTGGCTGCATGGATGTTTTCGTGATTTTCCACATGTGTATCGTGTATGCAGTATCTTCTAAATGCATACGTGAATAAAGCGGGACGCAGCCCGCACAAAACCACTGAACACTGGTAGTTCGGTCCAATTTTTGAATAACGGCGAACGGGCTGGCTGCATGGGTACTTTCGTAATTTTACGCATGTGTATCATGTACGCAGTATCTTCTGGATGCATATGTGAATAAAGCGGGCAAAGCCCGCGCAAATCCGCTGGACACTGGTAGTTCGATCCAAATTTTCAATCCAGGCGAACGGGCTGCCTCCATGTATGTTTTCATGATTTTCCCCATGCGCAACATGTATGCAGTATCTTTTGGATGCATACATGAATAAAGCGGGCGCAGCCCAGGTAAAATCGCTGGACACTGGTAGTTCGGACCAAATTTCGAATAAAGGCCAACGGACTGGCTCTAGGGGTGTTTTCGTGATTTTCCGCATGTGTGTCGTATATGCAGTATATTCTGAGGATGCATACTTTAATAAAGCGGGCGCAGCCCGCGCAAAACCGCTGGACACTGGTAGTTTGGTCCAACTTTTGAATCCCGGCCAGCCGGCTGGGTGCATGGGTGTTTTCGTAATTTAACGCATGTGTAACGTGTATGCAGTATCTTCTCGATGCATACGTGAATAAAGTGGGGGAAGTCCGTGCAGAACCGCTGAACACTGGTAGTTTGGTCCAACTTTCGAATACCGGCGAAATTACAATGGGAACTCATGAAGATCAAGCAATGAAAAGCGGGCTTCAGCCCGCTAGTCTATACTACAGTCAAAAGTCGTTAATTCGGACACCCATAATCCGGAATGATCTATAATCCGGACCTCAAAGCTATAAACTTTCTGCTCATGCGTCGCGTTCACGCATGCGCACAGGCATTTACGAGAGCGCGTAAGACCCTTACGGCTGCAAATATGTTTGTGCGCATGTGCGTTTAATGTGTAACGGAGTTATACGCTAAGCTAAAGTTATCTGATTCAGTTAATATTGCAGATTGCGTTGTTCCTTAATCTTGGAATTGGATCCGGCTTATTATTTTTTGCAGACTGTTAGAGCAATTTTATAAAAGTAAGCTTGAACTTTCGATTATGAGAAATAGAATTTCCGATATATATTTACTACAAAGCGAAAGTATGTTTTGAAGAAATCCGAAATCTGTTTATCAATTTCACACTGCTCTGCGGCAGAGGGGGGGCAGAAACGTCATTATTAGATTATGATAGATTAGAAAGATTATGTCAAATAGAATTTCCGATATATATTTACTAATATGTAATTTGTATCTACAAAGCGAAAGTATGTTTTGAAATCCGAAATCTGTTGATCAATTTCACACCGCGGATTGGAAGTTGATCTGTCAGCACTATCCTTATCTTCAGGGCAGATGTTTTTATTATATTTGGTTTATTACTAAGTGTAGTATTTCATCTCGATGTACTCCGTCTTTGATATGATTTAAATCAAGTTCCTCGTTCGCTTCCGATAGTGAGAAAGTGACCTAGAGGTTATTGAAAACGAAAACATTTCGATTGACAAATTAGTCGGTATTCTCAACACAGCAATTATAGGACTTGAACAGCGGAACTTTGTAACTAAACATGAAATTATGTCTGTGTAATAGAATTAAAGAGAAAGTATTATCACATGAAATGAAGCAACTTACATTGAAGGAAATGTTTAATAAAGTAAACAAATAAATATTAAGCTTTTTCTTTTTGTAAATTTTGATACCCTTTAGATCATAATTGTTCTTTATTTCATAAAT